GCCAGCCAGTCGTTGTCGGATTGTTCTCGGGTTCAAGAAGGTCTAATCCACTGGACAACTTCCGGCAGTACTGCGATTCAGAACTGCACGAACCGTCCCACTGTACTTAGGTATGGCGTTTTCAAGGTAGTTTTTAATCATAATATTTGTGACACGCCTGTTCGGTCGTATACGAGGCGTGCCAAAACCCACAATGGCTCCTACTAATGCTATATGTTTGCTGTTACGTATGTTAAACAGCAAACATTGTAGGTATTATCATCAGAGAACTACCACTTCCAACCGTATGCTATATCCTACCTTCAGTGGCCAATTGTGTGACGACTTATCGTTTCATTTGCAAAGGAAGAAGGGCAACACAAAGGCAGATCTCCTTTTGAGGTTTTACCGATTGACGTCTTAGCCTCTTCACCACTTGAGTACATATATTCCGTATGTCTGCGTCTCATGCGAAGTCTCCTGCATTCGTGAAGACTGACATCATGGTTGTGTAAAGAGCTGAATGCATTCGTCATAGTTTGCAGTCGTTGCTTACCAGCTGAATTTGCATGCAAGTGCAGATCACTGTAACATTTCGAATTTTGGAAGGGCACCGAATAACGGTAATTTTGTTGTACACCAGCTGCCCTAACTCATGAAATCTAAGGATTTTTACTATTGAATCCCTGGTAGGCAAAAGCAATTTAAGCTGCGTCTCTGAGAGTTTTACAGCAGTAAAATCGGCATCGTAATAATGTTAAATTACGATGTTTTGAAATAACAGATTATGGTAAAGGTTCTCCGTAGAGTTCAACAAGGGAGGAGATTAGAATCGAAACCTACTCATTAGCCCGAGTTATGCCCTTTTTCCATTCATTTGCCGCGCGAAAAATAAATTGAGAAAGGGGCGTACATCGGGCTACTGAGCACATGCAAGTGTTTTACTATAAATAAACTGCTTCTTATTGATTAAACGAGGTCTCATTTCAAAGGGAAAAACCTTTCCCATTTCTGTCCCCATTATATGTTTGGTATTTGCCTTTCTAACAAACTTCTTGGAATGGTATTTTACCGACAACACAGACCACATCACGAAGCTTTTCGGTCTATTTGGGCCTCATCAGGTGATGGTAGGTCAACTCCAGTGTAGCAGCGGAA